GGGAGCAGGAAGAATGAGTGAGACACAAAGGCCAGAGAAATGGGAAACAGCCAAGCCACAAGAGAAATGACAAGTGGGCAAAGTGCCAAGAGGGGGAAAGAAAAAGGAGAAATGAAGTCTGGCTATGGACCTTGGCAAGAAAACACTGGTGTACACAAAGCAGCTGAAGGTACAATCTGAATGCAGCCCTAACGTGACAGTCTCCACCTCTCCTCCTGCTGGGCCAGGCCCTCTCCGGGCCTCTCTTAATGTGGCGGCAGTCAGGCCTGCCCCATCAGGCACCCAGGGCTTTCTAATCCTTTCCAACTGGGCAACTACATGGAACCTGGCAGAAGGAAATGGTGAAGAAAACACAGGGCAGATAAGTGGCCCAGGTAGACCATCCCCACAGAGAAGAAAATATAATGTTAAAAAACCCACCTCACAGGGGGATTTGGCAGAATAGCCCTGTGACCTTCACAAGCAGTGACCATGTCAGTACCTGCAATTCCCGGCATAGTCAGGCCCCAGAAAATGTCAGCTACAGGATGACAGCAGAACCTGGGATACAGAGGTACCATGGAGCTGGACAGTCACCTGGACAAGTAGTGCCCATGCCATGTAGAACCTGTTGAGCAGACTGAAAAAGCCTTGAGTCCCTAACCTGCTCCTTCTTGGCTTCTGAGCAGCAGGTGTTAGGACTGCTCAACGAGGGAGGGGACACAGCACACAGCCCAGGCCTGGCACCCATAACCAAAGAAGGGAAGGAGAAGACTCACTGATCTGGCTGGACACACAGAGATGCTCCTAGGAAACAAGGGAGTTAAACCGAACCACAAAGAACCTGGAGTGGGTGTGAAGGCCTATGGAAGGCAGCCTTGAAGACGGCCCCCAGGAATGCCTACCTGCTGGTATTCATGCCCTTATATCAGCCTTGATTGTAGACTGGGCTGACTGACCCATTTCAAAGAAACAGAACATGGCAAAAATATTGGAATGTTACTTTCAAGGTCAAGTGAGAAAAAGACCAGCTTCTATCCTGGGTATTCTGTCCTGCTCATTTCCTCAGAGGGAAGGCATCTTCCATGCTATGAGGTACACTACAGAAAGGCCACCATGACAAGGAACTAAGGGAGGCCTTTGGCTAACAGCCAGTGAGGAACTAATGCTCACACTTCAACAAACTGGAAGAAAGTGAATCCTGCGAACAACCACACAAGTGAGTTCCTAAGTGGATTCTTCCTGAAACTGTCTTTCAAATGAGAACATGGCTCTGGCTGACAGCTTGACTGAAACCTCATGGGAGACCTTCAGCCAAAAGCACCCCGGTAAGCTGTGACAAGATTCCTAATGCACCAGAAGTGAGATAATGAATTTTTATTGTTTAAAGCCACTAAATTTTGGGGAAATTTGCCATGCATGAAGAGATAACTAAAACAGGGACTTACCCAGTGAGGCCACAAGTGCAAAGTTCTCCAGCATCACATCACGATACAGGCATCTCTGAGTCTCCTCAAGGAGCTCCCACTCCTCACGGGAGAAGTACACGAACACGTCCTCGAAGGTCACACAGCCCTGCTATGATGGGGACAGTTGAGCCCACAGGCAACAGCACCCCCCAGTCTGTCTGCTCACATACCCAGCTCCTAATCCCTCTCCTCCCAGCCTCTGAGAGACACCAGGTCTCCTCCAATCACTGTGTCCAGCCCAGAACAGAACCAGGCAAGTGGGCAGACAGATATTCTGTAAGCTATGGGTCTGGCAGGAAGGGCCCCAAACACCCTCCTGCCCGTCAGTTCTCCTGGTGTCATCCAGACCATGCCTCCCAGACACAACTTTAAGGCTGTCAGTTCACCCTCTTCCCAATGTGTCCGTTCACCCTTTGAACCACACCTTTGTCACATCTGGGACCCCACTACCACTGCCAACCTGCTGGTACACACCATATGCACCCCCCATGTAGGCCCCCCGCCATGCCACTCTGCACATGGTGTCCAGGAAGTGCCCTTATGTCTTTGTGACAGGCACCACTGCCACCCAGGTGCCTAAGCAAGAGACCAAGTCCTTAGTCTCAAGTCTCGACTTTCTTGTTATTAATGGCACTGCCACCATCTGAAGATAATCCCTCCTAAATTTAACCCACAGCTCGACCCCACTCCACATACCAGCTGCTACCTCTGAACTTCTTCAACTAAAATCCTATGTCCAGCGTGATGCCTCAATTAAGGGGTTCTCTGAGACTTCTTAAACTAAACACATTGAAAACCTAAGTCTCAATGTAACCACTGAAAATTACTCCTGCCACCAACTTCTCTATATCAGTTGCTGGCACGTCTATCGTCCTACCAACTAAAGCAAAAATACCACCTTGGGGGTCACCCATGACTCTTCGTTTTCTCTCATTTACCCTTCACATTGGAAAATCCTTTCACCCTACTTATAAGATCCCAAATCCACCAACTTCTCTCACTTCCCCAGCCACCCCTCTGGCTGGCCACCATCAACACTCCCATGGATACTGCAATAGCTCCTCCCTCATGCCCATGCTGTTCTCAACCAGACAGCAGCCAGAGGGAGCCTATTAAGATCTGAGTCAGATCATCTCTTCTGCTCCAAATCTCCTAAGTCATTCACCATCCTCAGAAGAGGCCCATCTCCTCAGCCTGCCATTCCTGCCTGGCTCCTAGCCCTGTTACCAACAGACATAATTCAGGCCTGTGGTTCCTTGAGGATCCCTAACTCAATCTTACTTCCAAGCATTTGCACATGCTCTTCCTGGGCCTAATATACCCTTCCAGTCCTCATCCTATTGGCTGTCCAAGTGGGGCCCTCTCTATGTAACTCCTGTCCTAGATTCAGGATGCTGGGCTAAAAATGGCCCCCTTACATCCCCCAAGACTCAAGTGCAGACAGAGGGACAAGTGAAGAGTCCCAGATTATTACTGTCTCATCAGAAAATCTGGTTGGCCCTACTTTAAAAACGTATACAAGTGCTCACTTTGGCAGCACATATACTAATTGGAACGATACTGAGAAGATCAGCATGGCCCCTGCGCAAGGCTGACACATAAATTCCTGAAGACTTCCATATTATTTTTATATGTCAATTTTCTCTCAATAAAGCTGAAATTAATACACACACACACACACACACACACACACAAAACCCATAAATTTCTCCACCATCTACTGCCACCACTCTGGTCCACCCACCATTAGTACCTACTTGGACTACTGGAGTAGACTCCATCCTGGTCTCCCTGCCCACCTCCTAATCTTTCCACTCTGCAGCCACAGGGAGCCTGTTAACGCCTAAGTGAGATCATCTCCCTTCTCTGTTCCAAATCTTCCATGGCTCCCACCACCATCAGAACACTGGCCCAGCTCCTCAGGCTGCCACTCCAGGTCTGACCCCTGACCTCCTGCTCTCTGTTCTCACCAGACGTAACAGAAACCTGCGGTTCCCAGAACACTCCTGACTCATTCTCACCTCCAAGTATTTGTACCAGCTGGCTCCAGTGCCTTGGAAACCCTTGCACACCTCATCTTATCGACACTGGGAATGAGAACCTAGCAATATATCCGCTGGGAGTGTCCGCCCTCCATGGCCTTTATACTTGAGAGACGGGAGCGATGAAGGCGAAGTGATGACGACGGTCCTAGAACACACCACCCCCTAGATCCGAGTCAGCGAGGGCTTAAGGGACCCTCCCTCCACTCACCAGAGCCCGGTCCATCAGCGCCGTGGCCGCCATGGAGTCCTGAGCGCAGACCTGAGACTCAGCCGAAACCCCACACTTCCACACGGCCGGGTGACCTTGGGCTGTCTGTCGCACTGTGAGTCCGTCCCCAGGGTAAAAACAAGCACAGAGCTCAGGGTGCCGCCTCCGGGGGCGGACGAGGACAGGGCGCGGGCGCCGGCGCGAAGGCCTCGAAAAGAGCGCAGCCCGGGCGGACACCTCGGCGCAGGGCCGCCCGTCCCCCGACGGGGATCGTAGGTCGTAACACAGGCGTGAAGAGACGTCCTTTCCTTTTTACCGTCCTTGCCGGCTGGATTCCGAAGAGCCGCGCGGGAAGCGGACCCCGCCCAGGACGCAGAGCCTCTACAGCCAGAGTGGACTGACAGTCCCGGCACAAGCTAAAGACGTCAGGACGGCGGCACCGGAAGTCCCACCTCGGCCACACAGGGCGCGGGAAACGCCCATCTTCCGGGCTGCCGTTGACGCAACGTTGAGACGCCGGGCAGAAACTTCTGGGTAATGTAGTTTGTGTGTTGCATCTACTCCAGCAAAGGGCACCTTTCTGGCTCTTCATGACAACCGCGCAAAGGCCGGTGGTGGGGCAAGTTGGGGAAATAGCGTCCTGGAGGGCTAAAGGGCATCGTAAAGGGGACGCATCCAGATTTCCGTGGTCAGCTGGTTCAATGCCCCGTCCTCAGGGGTCTCCAGCAGGTGATCCATACTTTAATCCCGGGAGAGCTGCTTAACTTCTCTCAGCTTTGGAGCCTGAGATTTAAATTGAACAATGAATATACCTAACTCGTGGGGTATTTGTGCAGATTAACATTAACTATTCCTTGAATTCGTTGATTCCCAAAATTGTGTCCATGATTTGGTAGTATTTTGGCAGTATCAGCATCACTTGTGAACTCAGAATGCACCTCCTTGGGGAGGCCTGTGACCAGTCCTCAGGTGGGCCACCACTGTTCTCAGGCCCTGGCCTCAAATCTCCCCACGCTGGACTTTCACTTTTTCAAATAACCAGGATCACTCCCCCCCACACACACACACCTTTACACAGACAGGATGTTCTCTCTGCCTAGAAGTCCAGGTGTGGGGCTAACTTCTATTGTATCACAAGTTTAAATTATATGCCACAGTAGGGCTTGTGATTGGAAGGGGAAAAGGAGCTCAGGGCCATCTAGGAGGCCAGGCCATGGTGTTCTTAGTAGCTGGTCTGGCAATCACCTTTAAACTCTGGGAATCTCCTGTTGAATATAAACTAGTTCACAGAACGCTAACCTCAGTCAAGGCCACTCAGTGACCATGACTGAGAAATGGGAGATGAGGGAACAAACCTGAGTCCTTCATCCTCTGGAGGGCATGTCATAACTGCTTTGGGACAAACACAGGACCAGGTCTCTGAATCTGCTGTTATACTGAAGAGCTTCCAGGTGTGGAAAGAAACATCCTCTGAAGGAGAGGGTTTCTTTGACTATTATGGACCCACGTGCTCAGCTATAGGTATAGCCACAGCCACTGCACAGCTTCTCCTAAAGTGAGAGAGGGGCCCTTGAGAGGCAACTCTTTCACAAATAATAAAAAACTATACATGCTGTCATTAAAAAATTGTTAAGTAGTATGACTTCTGACTCTTTGAGAAGTGAGTGCATAATGAAAAACGGTAAAAGTACCACAGAATGGCTTTACCCACAATGGTGATTCAAAACTACGCCTGAGCTCATTGACAAGGCAGAGGAGGGTTCACAGTGAGAGTGTGATTATTTTTACATTAAACAATGTGCTGTGTTTTTAACATGAGGTAATAATGATCATGTCATGTAGTTCAACATTTAGCCTCATAAACGATCCCAAAGGTGATATTACAAACTGGCCCACCATCTGATAAGAGCACCAACAAAGTGAAACCCACACATACCTGCATGTCTTCATCTCTCTGGTAGGTTCCAATCACTTTTCTTTATGGCAACACTTGACACATTCTCATAAGATTAAATAATGAGATTGCTTATTCATATTTGTTTTTTCAAAGTTAAGCATCAATTTAACTTGAATGTGTTTTACTGTTTTAGCCCTAATTCAACCCCTAGAAAATTACTGAGGTGAACTTTCTGGGAAGACTGCACAGCTTCATGATCATCCTCATGCTTCAGAGAAAATAAATAAAAAACAGGCAGATCACGATCAAGGACAAATGACTGTGCTGGATGTTTAAACTGACATGAAAAAAGGGTTTGGTTTTTTTGTTCGTTTGTTTCTCTTAGCAGTATCTTTTTAAATTATTATTTTTTTCAATTACAGTTGACATACAATATTGTATTAGCTTCATGTGTATTGCTTTGTTGTTGTTTTTTAAATTGAAGGCCTCTCTCACCACTCTTATTCTACATAGTACTGGAAGTCCTAGCTTTAGCAATCAAGCAAGACAAAGAAATAAAAGGCATCCAAATTGGAAAGTAAAATTGTCATTATTTGCAAATGATATGATCTTATATATTGAAAATCCCAAAGACTCAGGTAAAAAACTACTGGCTCTAATCAATGAATTCAGTAAAGTTGCAGGATATAAACAGTAATACACACAAATCAGTCACATTTCTATATACTAACCATGAGACATCTGAAAAATAAAGAAAACTATGCCATTCAAATAGCATCAAAAACAACAAAATACCTAGGAATAAATTGAACCAGGGACCTGAAATACCTGTACACTGAAAACTACGACTGTTGAAATAAATGGAAGAATACACATACATATGGAAGGATATCCTGTGTTCATGAATTGTAAGAGTTAATATTGTTAAAATGTCCATGCTGCCCAAAGCCATCCTATTGATTCAATGCAATCCCTATCACAATTCCAATGGCATTTTTCACAGGAATAATAATTTAAAAAAATCCTAGAGGGCTAGCTGAGTGGCTCAGTTGGTTAAGAGCACGAGTTCTGAGAAACAGGATTGCAAGTTCAATTCCCACATGGGCCAGTGAGCTGTGCCTGAGCTGAGCCGCCGCTAAGCTGCCAACAGGTGGCAGGATGGCTCAGCTGGTGAGACCACGTGTTCCTAACAACCAAGGTTTCCAGTTTGACTCCTGCATGGGATGGCGGGCTATGTCCACACGCAACTAAAATTGAACATGGCACCTTGAGCTGAGCTGCCGCGAGCTGCCGATGGGTGGCTGGATGGTAACTGGACTTGGAGCTGCGCTAGCTGCGCCCTCCACAACTAAGACTGAAGGACAACAACTTGGCTGTTCCCCTTCCCTGATTCCCCAATAAAATCTATAAAAAAAACAAACAAAATCCTAAAATCTGTATGGAACCACAAAAGACTCCAAATAGCCAAAGCAATCATAAGAAATAAGAACAAAACCAGAGGTATCACACTTACTGATTTCAAACTATCCTGTAAAGCTATAGTAATTAAGACAGTATGGTACTGGCATAAAAAATATAGATACACCAGTGGAATAGAACAGAGTGCCCAGAATTAAAACCCACATAAATGGTCAATATTTGATAAAGGAGCCAAGAACATCCAATATGGAAATAGTCTGTTCAACAAATGGTGTTGGGAAAACTGGATAACCACATGCAGAAAAATGAAATTGAACCCCCATGTTACACCACTCACAAAAATTAATTTGAAACGAATCAAAGACTTAAAAATAAACCCTGATACCATAAAACTCCTAAAATAAAACACTGGGAAGAAGCTCCTTCACAATGATTTTTTTGGATATGACACCAAAAGCACAAACAACAAAAAAAACCAACAAGTGGGACTACATGAAACTTAAAACCTTCTGTACTATAAAAGAAATATAACAAAATAAAAGGGCAACCTAAATAACAAAAAAATAACTCAGTAACAAAAAAACCTCAAACAATTGATCGAAAAATGGACAAAAGAGCTAAGTAGACATTTTTCCAAAGAAGATACCCAAACAGCCAACAGGTACATGAAAAGGTGCTCAGCGTCACTAATCATCAGGGAAATGCAAATCAAAACCACACCAGGATTTCACTTCACATCTGTAAGAATGGCTATCATAAAGAAGAGAGAACAATGTTGACAAGAAAATAGAGAAAAGGGAATCCTTGTGTACTATTGGTGGGGTTGTAAACTGGTCCAGTCACTTTAGAGAATAGTATGAAGGCTCTTCAAAAAATTAAAAACAGACTTTCCATCTCCAGTTGCCGATGAGAGGAGCTGTCACCATGTCTGTGCATCTGCAACGAATTGTTGTGTGCAACTGCTCCAGCTTCCTAATCTAAAGGAACAAGCAGACGTACAGCACCAAGCTCAATAATCTGAAAGCCTGTAACTCCTTCCACTACAATGGACTGATTCGCTACAAGACAGTGGGCGAGAAGCCAGCTGCCTATGGCAAAGGTGTGGTGGTCGTCATGAAGTGGACGTCCAGGCAGCGAAAGCCAGCCACCTCATACATGCGGACCACCAACAAGTATGCCGCGGCCACCCTCAGCGGCATCCAGTACATGATCTGCAAGAACAAGTACCGCCTGGACCTGCACATAGCCGCCATCCATAGGGCCAGCACCATCCTGTGCAGCCAGAAGCCCATGACGCTTAAGAGGAAGCAGTCTCGTCCCACCAAGAGCTCCTGAGCACCTCCCCCGCAAAACAATAAAGCACCAGCCAACTTTCTCCACCCCCCCCCCAAAAAAAAATTAAAAATAGAACTACCATATGATTCAGCAATTCCACTTCTGGGTATTTATTCCTAGGAAATGAAAACAGGTTGTTGAACAGATATATGTACTCCCACGTTTATTATAGCATTGTTCACAACAGCCAAGATATGGAAACAACCAAAGTGTCCGTCAATGGATGAATGGATAAAAATCTCTCTCACACACACCCAGGTGTTATTCAGCCAAGAGAGAAAAGGAAATCCTGCCATTTGCAGAAACACAGATGGGCCTTGAGGACATTACGCTGAATTAAGTCAAACAGAGAAAGACAAATACTGTATGACAACCCTTAAATGTGTAATCTAAAAGAAAAAACAAACCAAACTCAAAAAAACAGAGTGGAATG